TTGATACTGGTGCACAATGTGCATTAATTCCGACGAGACATGTGGGGACAGAGTCAGTTTCTATTGCGAGTGTGACAGGGGGATCCCAGGATTTCACTTTGGTGGAAGCTGATGTAAGCCTGACTGGGAATGAATGGAAGAAACATCCTATCGTGACTGGCCCAGAGGCCCCGTGTATTTTGGGCATAGACTACCTTTGAAGTGGGTATTTCAAAGACCCAAAGGGACTCAGATGGGCATTTGGAATAGCTGCTGTAGAGACAGAGGGTGTCAAGCCATTGAACAGCTTGCCTGGACTGTCAGAAAACCCATCTGCAGTAGGACTCCTGAAGGTAGAAGAGCAACGAGTGCCAATTGCAACCTCAACAGTGCACCACCGACAGTACTGAACGAATCGAGATGCTGTGATCCCCATCCACAAAATGATCCCTGAGCTGGAGAGTCAAGGGGTGGTCAGCAAGACCCACTCACCCTTCAACAGTCCCATTTGGCCTGTGTATAAATCTGAAGGAGAATGGAGATTGACAGTGGACTATTGTGCATTGAATGAAGTGACTCCACCCCTGAGCGCTGCTGTGCCGGACATGCTGGAACTCCAGTACGAGCTGGAGTCCAAGGCAGCAAGGTGGTACGCCACTATAGACATTGCCAATGCATTTTTCTCCATTCCTCTGGCAGCAGAATGCAGGCCTCAGTTTGCTTTCACCTGGAGAGGCGTGCAGTACACCTGGAGCCGACTGCCCCAGGGGTGGAAGCACAGGCCCACCATCTGCCATGGACTGATCCAGGCTGCACTGGAAAAGGGTGAGGCTCCAGAACATCTGCAATATATTGATGACATCATTGTGTGGGGGAAGACAGCAGCAGAGGTGTTCGAGAAAGGTGAGAAAATCATCCAGATTCTCCTAAAAGCTGGCTTCACCATCAAGAAGAGCAAAGTCAAGGGACCTGCTCAAGAGATCCAGTTTCTGGGAGTGAAGTGGCAAGACGGACGGCGTCAGAGTCCCACCAATGTCATCAACAAGATCACAGCAATATCTCCACCATCCAGCAAGAAAGAAACACAAGCTTTCCTAGGCGCCATAGGTTTTTGGAGGATGCATATTCCCGAATACAGTCAGATCGTGAGCCCTCTCTACCTGGTCACCTGTAAGAAGAACACTTTCCACTGGGGCCCTGAGCAGCAACAAGCCTTTGCACAGATCAAGCAGGAGATTGCTCATGCAGTAGCCCTTGGCCCAGTCAGGACAGGACCAGAGGTGAAGAATGTGCTCTACTCTGCAGCCGGGAACCATGGCTTGTCCTGGAGCCTTTGGCAGAAGGTGTCTGGGGAGACTCGAGGCCAACCACTAGGATTTTGGAGTCAAAGCTACAGAGGGTCTGAAGGCAACTATACTCCAACAGAGAAAGAAATCTTGGCTGCCTATGAAGGAGTCCAGGCTGCCTCAGAGGGAATAGGCACTGAAGCACAACTCCTCCTGGCACCCCGACTACCAGTACTGGGGTGGATGTTCAAAGCGAAAGTTCCCTCTACGCACCATGTCACCAATGCTACATGGAGCAAATGGATTGCTCTCATCACACAGCGTGCCCGTATTGGAAAACTGAATCGCCCTGGGATTCTGGAAATAATTACAAACTGGCTGGAAGGTGAAAACTTTGGTCTCGCTGATGAAGGGGAACAAGAAGTGACACGGGCTGAAGAAGCTCCACCATACAACCAACTGCCAGCCGAAGACACACCATACGCTCTCTTTACTGATGGTTGGTGCTGCATTGTGGGAATGAACCGGAAGTGGAAAGCAGCCGTATGGAGCCCCACACGACAGGTGGCAGAGGCCACTGAAGGAGAAGGTGGATCAAGCCAACTTGCTGAACTCAAAGCTGTTCAACTGGCCCGGGACATTGCTGAGAGAGAGAAGTGGCCAAAGCTCTACCTTTATACTGATTCATGGATGGTAGCCAATGCTCTGTGGGGATGGCTGGAGAGGTGGAAAGAGGCTAACTGGCAGCGTAAAGGAAAACCAATTTGGGCTGCTGAAGAGTGGAAAGACATTGCTACCAGGGTAGGGAAACTGCCTGTGAAGGTCCGCCATGTGGATGCTCATGTTCCCAAGAGTAGAGCTGATGAGGATCACCAAAACAATGAGCAAGTAGACCAGGCTGCAAAGATAGAGGTGTCAAAGATAGACTTAGATTGGCAACATAAAGGAGAGTTATTCCTAGCTCGATGGGCCCATGATGCCTCAGGCCCTCAGGGCAGGGATGCCACCTATAAGTGGGCATGAGACCGAGGGGTGGATTTAACCATGGACAGTATTTCTCAGGTTATCCATGACTGTGAGATGTGTGCTGCCATCAAGCAGGCCAAGCAAGTGAAGCCCCTGTGGTATGGTGGGCGGTGGTCCAAGTACAAGTATGGGGAGGCCTGGCAGATTGACTATATCACACTGCCCCAGACACATCAGGGCAAGCGCTACGTGCTGACCATGGTGGAAGCCACCACTGGATGGTTGGAAACCCACCCTGTGTCTCATGCTACGGCCCAGAACACCATCCTGGGCCTTGAAAAGCAAGTTCTGTGGAGACATGGCACCCCTGAGAGGATTGAGTCAGACAACGGGACTCATTTCAAGAACAGCCTTATCAATACCTGGGCTAGGGAACATGGCATTGAGTGGGTGTACCATATCCCCTACCATGCACCAGCTGCAGGAAAAGTGGAGAGGTACAACGGACTGTTAAAAACCACATTGAAAGCATTAGGTGGGGGATCTTTCAAAAACTGGGAGCAGCATCTGGCAAAAGCCACCTGGTTAGTTAACACCCGAGGCTCTACTAACCGAGTGGGCCCTGCCCAATCTGAGCCTTTGCAGAGAGTAGATGGAGACAAAGTCCCAGTGGTACATGCCAGAGGTTTATTCGGGAAGACAGTTTGGATTAATCCTGCCTCAAATACAGACAAACCCATTCGTGGGGTTGTTTTTGCTCAGGGACCAGGTTGCACATGGTGGATAATGCAAAAAGATGGAAGAACACGATGTGTACCTCAGGGAGATCTGATTGTTGGATAAAACCTGTGTAAATATCACTGTTTGCTGAATGTTATTACCATTGTCTGTGTATAGCTGTATAATGGATGTATCATGCATGGACTTGTAGAGTTAGAATTTATATTAGTTTTAGTAGTAAGCAGACGGTATGGGGATAAGGGGTGGAATGTCCTGGGTTGACTATATGATGCTTTTATCCCCAATCGTCTCATTCTGTTTATGTTGAATAATAAGTTTTGCACCTTTAAGAGTGTTCCAGAGAGTGAAGGGGGGGAGAGAAGAAGCGCGCAGTTTGTTTTCAGACACTGTACTCCACTCCCCCACATTCCTCCTCCTGGACTGTTGTTGTCTGCGGACAGACAGCGGCACAGAGCTCTTATTTTGCTTTTTAGTTAGTGTTAGTTAGCTGAGGCAAAGAAGTTCCCTGGACTGTTTTTTTTTCCTTTTCTTTGGACCTCTTGAAACCTGCTCTGGACTGAACACCCAGGGGAGCACCAGTAGCTCACATCCCTGGCCTGCGACATTTCCAGCACCAGAGGGACTGATCAGAGACTGAGTGAGCTGCAACCCGGGGACGGGGTTTTCTCAGTTTGTCATCTCTTTTAGAGTGGCAAGGGGTCTCATTGTTTGATATTGTTTTAGTTTTATTGTTTAATAAACAGGTTTTTTTCCACCTTTCTCCAAGGAGGTATTTTTTTTCCTCCCGGACCAGTTGGGGGAGGGGCCAATTGGATCTGCTTTTCCCACCGGAGCTCCTCTGGGGGATTCTTCCCCAAATTTGCTCTAAACCTGGACCAACTGACATCTTACTCTTAACCATACTAAAACCACCAGCTCTATACTGGGAGAATACGGCATGTGGTAGATGGAGAAGCTGCCTGTTTACCTGGTGCGGAGGCAGAGCTGTGAGAGGCAGTGCCAATATTCCAGAGATATGGGCCTAATCAAACAGACCCAGCCAAGTACAATACTTCCATACTGAGCAATGACTGAAATCAAAGACATCTGTTTTTTTGCAGGTTGTTATCCTGACATCTGTCTTGACCTGCATGGGTTATAACACACAGATTTAGTTTCACCTGATTCCCTCTAGACAGGCATGGCTGAGTAGGGAACCACTGGTCAACTAAAGGGAAAGAAGCAAAGGCACAGGCAGACAGGCATTGATCTTCCTATTTGCACCCGGGATATCATTGGCCTTCTTGGCCAAAAGGACACACTGCCTGCTCACAGATCAGTTTGTCATCTTACTCAGGCTTGGTAGCTCCAAATGTTCATTTAACATCCTGGCTTTTTTTTTTACATTACCTTTGTAGAGTTAAAAATTGACAGTAAGCGAAACAATTTCATGGAACACACATGGAGTCACAATATTAGCATTTAACAGAGGTGTTAATTCCAAACAAACAACTGTTACTTAGACATGCAAGGAGACAAAAAATGAAGAAATTATCCTACTCTTTCGACATACGCCCCAACGTTTCTGATTGTTGAAAGTACTGATGAAAGAGCTTACTCCTAGCTTTTTTTCATAAGGAAGATCTGTTCTTCATCACTGCCTTGATTTGCTTCAATTTACTTGTCAGGATTTTTCTAGAAGCTACAGCTTTCGGCTAGCTCTGTTTCAGTCTAAACCAGCTTCTCTTAAAAACTGGCAATGCATTTTAGGCCATGAGAGAAAAATGGATTATCTCTTTCTACAGCTTTTCTTCTGCTGTACTGATTCAATCCCTCCTTAGGAAAAAGCTCTACACCGAACCTTTGGGTTCTGAGCATATCCAGGGCCTAAGCAGAAAGGCTTCAGAGAATGCTGAAGATACTGTGGAACCGCAGGAGGATCTCAGGGAATATCTATGTGTATCTCCTCAGGCTCCTGCAAATCTTGATATAACACTGAAGCCCAACTGCAAGCAGTTAAAATAATTATTATTTTTTCTTTTTCTACATTTTATGCTCTTAAATATCCATTTTAATGTAAAAGAAAAGGATCATTCAACAAGAAGTGATGTTTGATACTAAGAAAGCTTAGTAGGAAACCTAAGTATGTCCTAGCCCTGAATTAAGAGACTGGTGTTCTTTTGTTTTCAAGTGCATGTGTAGGTCACACTACTTGTGATAAGCTTGGAGGCGCATTCTGTTTGGATCCTCTGGATGTCTCAGGGCCACTCCATATCGCAGCAGCAGCTCAATATAAGATGGCCAAAATGATTCATTAATTGTTATATAAGGTTCATGTGGTGTGGTCATTGATTTGTTTATCAGCATCTGGAAGACCAAAAGGATAAGATTTAGGAAATTAACAAAACAGCTAGATTTTTTCTCCTTTAACCAAATTTTAGCAAATTACTGTGATGTAGGCAATATAAGATATAAAGGACTATACAGAAGAAATATGAGACCTGTACAAAGTAGAAGTAAAGCAAAGGACTTCCAATTAGCTACATAACATCTTTTTTGACATAAAAATTAGAACCAGAATCCTTTTTTATTCCAGAATAAATGTAGATTAAATGCTGTATCTAGATACAGAATTAGTTAATGGAGTTAAAAACAAAATCAGTTTTGTCATTTTGTTTCAGTTCACGAAGATCATATTCATGCCCTCACGATATTGCTCATGGGGAGTACTGCACACATTACAGATTAAATAATCTTACCCATCCCATGGTGCTCTTTCTATTTAACCTAGATATTTAATCTTTCTTCTCAGAGCTTTTAAATGTTATACTGTCCCAATTTCATTAAGTACAAAATATATTTTGCCCTTTAGTGCTAAAGTCAAATTCAATTCATATATTTTTGCATCCAGTGCTGCTAATAAAAGACCCAAATGAATGACTACTCTTCTTTTTCAGAACATTCTGAAGAATAATTGTTCCAGTTAATATATTTTGTACTTCCAATTATGAGAATTTACTCCAAATGCATTATTCTAGACAAATTTTTACTTGTTTTTTTCTGACATCTGATACTCCAAAATAGCTTTCATGGCTGTAACTTATGTGTACCTCAGAAAACATTTTTCACATTTAACATTAAGGTCTTGGGTCGGCTGTTGATATTCTCTGCCCCGAGATGCGTAGGATGTCTCTGCTTCAGCCCGTGCAACTGAAGAATGAGTCTGGACTCTTCACTTTTCAGTCTTGAGGTTGTTTATTAATTCTTATCTATAAAATTTTCTTTCTGCCCAGCCGAGATCTGCTCAGCAAGGCAGTCAAAGGCACTCTGACCACCCCCGAGGCGGTGTTGTCTTTTTATACTACAAACTACGTATAACATATTTACACTTAATTCCCAATACCTATCACCTATGTTAGACAGTGCACTTCTACTCTAAACCAATCCCAAAGTGCCAACATCACTGCAGAAAATGGAGAACAAGAAGAAGAAAGAAGAACAAGACACGTCCTGATTCCTCCATCTTGTCCCTATAACCCCTATACCAAAAATCCTAAAATCTACATTTTCACCCTGTGCATATTTTATTATTACACTATTCAAACCTGTGTGACTTTCACGTCCTCATACAAAGCTGGTAACTTGCTCAAAGGGTCAAAATTAAATCCCCAGGTGTTCTGGGCAGCATGCCAGGGTCTCCGAGCCCCCTGACGGGGTCCTCGGCAACTCTGGACATCCAGAGGGATGTACTGAGTTCCAACAAACAGGGACTTGAAGCTAGAACAACATGACTCAACAAAGAAAAACCTTTCGGAATACAAAGATAAGGGACATTGACACTTTAGGTCAGGATGTTGAAATTCAAAATGAGTCTGAATTTTTCAAATAGTGTGTTCTTCCTTCTTCCAAACAGAAGTCAGATATTACATGAATATGTCCCCATTTTTAGGAGATTAACAATATTAGAAAAATATGAAGGGAAATTTTAAAGCATTAGAAGAACTTCAAAATTCTTTTTCCATAAGGGCTGTGGCAACTCTGAATTCTGATGTGTTTTCAAGCTCTGCCTAATTTGGCATTAAAAGGTATGCTGAGATTTTTGAAGCATGTAAAATGATTTTGATGATGTAAGCCCAAAGCCTGGGCTTTAAACTGTAGTACATAGTGATTAGATAATAGCATCTTAATACCAGCAAGTTTTTATACATCACATTTTGCATCAAGAAAAAAAATTTTTCCCAGGGACATCTTACATATAGAACTCAGAACTGTCTAAGGAGGGGGAACAGAAAATTTCACTTCATATGCTACATTTAAGACAAGAAGAAAAATTATGCTTTGCAATTCACATTCATAAACTGCACTGTAATTAAAAAATTGCACTAAGCAATGCTTCTATACTTATAAAATCAATCAGAAATGCATTAATCGGATTAACTGATTTCCTTGTATGAGTTAATAATCCAGTTAATGCACAAGACTATTGGTCCGAGGCTACATATTTAGTCCTTCTGTTAATGTATATTTCAGAAATATTTTTCTTGAAACAGTATAAAATAGAGCATGAAATGGACCTTTTTTTTTTGTTAAACACAGTATTTGTCTCTCCCAACATGATCCACTAAGGCACATAAAACGTCTTTGAACCAAATATAGTAAAATCAAGAAATAAGAGATAGCCATTCTCCAGCCTAAACTGAACCAGTTAATTATTGCCACACCTCTTGTAATAATGTGGGGTTTACATTGATAGGAATTAAAATAGAAAACTGACCTAGATTCACAGAATGGTTTGGGTTGGAACGTACTTTAAGATCATCTCATTCCAAGCACCTGCCATGGGCAGGTGCACCTTGCACTAGATCAGATTGCTCCAAGCCCCATCCAACCTGGCATTGATCACTGCCAGGGATGGAGTATTCACAGCTTCTCTGGACAGCCTGTTCCACTGCCTCACCACCCTCACAGTAAAGAATTTATTCTTGAAAGCTAATCTAAATATCTATTCTTGTAATTCAAAACTATTCCCCCATGCAAAAAGTTGCTCTGCATCTTTTTATAAGTCCCCTTTTAGAACCAGAAGGCCACAATGAGGTCTCCCTGCACTCTTCTTGTAGAGACAACATTCTTAATCATTCTAGATTAACTGTCTTAACTAAATACCACATACTGTTAGTTATATTAGTAATAAACACTTTATCATCATCACCATCATCACCATCACTACATCTGAATATTTAAAAATTCCTCAAATCTCTACATAGTGAAAACATCTTACCTCTAAAATGTCTTTCAATGCTATCAGTTCTACAGCTGGCTCTGCTGAAGAGTTCTGGAAAGATAAACATCCCCCAGCCAAACTAACAAAACCCCAAACCAGTTAAGAAAAATTTTAATTGACAAAGTAAAATAATTACACAATTATTTGATTGCATAGTACACAAAAGATGAAAACTTTTAGTTAGATTTAAATCTACCAGTTCAAAATCCTACACTTCAAATGTAACATTTTTTGAATTATCAAGAGAGATTTATCTAAAGTGATCATAATGTTTTCATCTGTGTTTACATTTAAATAAAACCAAGTACATCAAATTTATAATGTAGTACAGAATTTGTTCTGTGAAGAAATTTGTTGGAGGAAAAAACATTTTTCATGAGCTTTAAATAAATGTTTATAATAGAAATTTGACACAACTCAAGACTTAATTTCATAGTGCCTCAATATTTTTTTCATAATTTGACAATGAATACTTACTTGCTTTGAATTCAACTAAAACATTTATCTTATCAAGGCTGAGAAATAGAATAATTAAAAATTTTGGTGGAATAAAAGGCAATGATAAAATATCACTAAAAGATTACTTCTTTTCCTTTGTAGCAAGCAAATCAAGCCATTCGTCTATAGAGATTCCTTTGGCAGCAATGTCAATGGATCTGCTTGTACTGTTGCACAGTAAACCTGATTCTTTAATTTTCCAGTTTTATTATTTTCCCCCACGCACTTCAGTTTCAACAAAATAAAGGAGATAATATTCCACTGGCTTTCTCAGCATTGCTGTTGAATGCATGAATTTAAGACCTATGATATTACCAGCTGTGCAGCACCTTATACAAACTTCACTTCTGGAACAGAGGAAGAATACAAGCAAGAAAGAAGATTATTCTGAAAGGCAAGTTCTGGATCCTTTTTCCCAGTCACAGTTTGTAATAGTCTCACCTGCAGACGGTCAGAAGTTTCAGTTTCCAGGGAGAGCCTGCTCCATGGAAGCTCTGCAAATCCTGGTGCTATGACCCAATAACATCTATCTATATGCCCTTATCTCAATATTTGGCTGAGGAAATAAAATCGGCATTACCTATCAGCAAAAAGTTCCTTAGAGCAAACATGAAACTTCACAACCTTTGCTGATATATTTCCCTGGTCAAAATTACAACTAATACAATTAAGGACCGCTAATCACCTAATGCTTATAAAGTCGTTAAGCAGGATGCTCAGCATTTCATTATTTAGCCTGAAAGGCACCTTCTTCACCCTTCCTATCAGACAGATTTGCATAAAGAATATTCCTCAGCCTCTGATTTTTTGTATTATTATCTTGAAAAAAATAAAGTAGATTTTTATCCTAGATTTAAAATGCAAGATCATCGTTACTGCAGTCACTGCCTATATTAAAGGTGTTGGGCCATGGCAATGGAAGCCAGCATGAGCTGTTATGATGCAGTCTTCACTCCCATTCCCACTCCCAATCCCACATGCATGTCGCCAGGTGAAAGGAGGGTGGAACCAGACCAGTGAGGCTTGGAGCAGTTCAAACTATACTGCAGCCATGTCCTACAGACATCAACCCTGCACATTTGCCCTCACACAGAACCACTGTGAACACAACATGCTTCCACAAAGTGAAGCAAAATTGCTGATGTGCAGAGTTTGGTGCTGCTAGACTGCTGAACCAAGCTGATAGGAGAAGTGAATAATGTGTTCTCATGAACCAACATAACAGCTAATTTCATTGCTAATTCATTTCAGTGATTACAATTTGTATTTCTTACACCCAATAAATGTAGGCAAAAATGGCTTGCTGTCCTGCCTTCCCAGTCAATTACTTAGATGTAGATTAAGAGGTACCTGTAGTTAAGCCAAGTGATCCAAGTGAGTCAAAAGGTATAGAAAAGCTATGAATTCACAAAGAGTGAAAAGAAAGAAAAAGACTGTCAGAAAACAGACTCTGTTTAAGAGTTCAGAAAATGTATAAATAAAATTTAAGCTAAGATAAAACCTTGTGTTGAAATTAACCAAAGTAGTTTTTTTGTTTAAGTAAAGTGATAGGTAACAGCCAACATGGCTTCACTATAGACCATTTACACCCAACAAATTTAGCGGCCTTCTACAAGAGTTACAGTATTTGTGGAAAAGGAAGAACAACTGATGGCATCTACCTGGACTTTTGCAAATCATTTGACACTGTCCCACATGCAACTGTTTCTAAAACGGAGAGACTTAGACCAAAATATGTCACATTTACTAACAACAGGAAAGGAAAGCATTGGTATGAAGAAAAACTAAGATTCAACAAAATAAGATATTTGAATAATACTTTGAAAATGAACACCGTGTCTTGAGAAATCCACAGGTATTTTTATATGCAAAATATGTGCTTATGTGCAAAACATTTTTTTAAATTAAAATATCAGGATTCATTAGCTGCAAATTACAGACAGAAAAAGACAAGGGTGTACTTTGTTGCTTTGGTGATGGGTGTGAGCTAGTAGTTTTGTTTATAATATTGTTTCTTAGCAGGTTGTAAAAAAGATGAATCCAAGTGAAAACAAACATAGACAATGGTTATTACTAGGATAAGCTAGAGAATTGAAAAATATTATCTTGCAGGAGAACATAAAGGTGTTGCTAGTTCAATTAGCAAAACAAAGAAAGAGAGGATATGAGATTGCTGCTGTAAATATATCAGGAGGAATAAACACAAGAGAAACAGTAGTAAAAAAATTATTTGTTCTAAAATGGAGCTCAATGATAATATTGAAGAAATTTTTATATTATGTAGTTACCTGAAATAACAGGGAACTGGATTAAAGAAATAATTTCAACTTCTGTAATGTTAAGTGTTTCTGAAATCAAAATAAAATCCTGCCTTTTTTCATAGCTTTTTTTAATCTATCAAATACTAATGGTAATCATTTTATTTCTACTGCACACTTTGAATTTATTATGCAAAATACTCCCTGGCTGCCTATTCTCCCTGAGGTTTTACAATAATTTTTGACCCAGTTTGCCTGAACAAAATCTGATGGTTAACATTCCAAACTACTCTGTAATTATAAACACTTTTCCTTATTGTTCCAAAAAACATTGTTAGACAATTAAAATTTGCTTTGCCAAGGAAAACAGGAATCTACTTGCCCAGTCAAGTAGAAAAAAAAAAGAGTCAATTTGGACTGAACCTCACACCATTTCCAAATGTGGCATAGCTTGCAGTTCAGTAAGAAATACAATATATTGCTATGCATCTCATTGGGTAAGGGATATATGCATTAAAAAAAGAAAATACCCATCTGGAAACAGCCTTAAATAATATAAAACAACCTGAAAAATATAAATTAAACCTAGAGGATCAGCTGTAAAAATTATGCTTATTTCAAATACAACTGCAGGTTCAATGCTAGTGACTTCAAACAGGTACTGCATCTAATTAAATATAAACTCAACATTTCAAATTTAATAGTTAAAGAAAAGTCTTACCTTTTTTTAATATTTTCACCTTCCTCTAGAGGGGGAAAATGTTTATCCAGGAATTCAGCCAAAGCACTCCAGAGTTCTTTCTTATAGGTCTGTAATTTCAGTACTTTATTTTTCAGCCCATTGAGTTCTCTAGTTTTCAAACTAACAGTAAAAACACAGCAACAAAACAAGGGATCAAATAAAGTAACTAAAAAGTCCCTCCTAAGTAAAAAACACCCTTATTATCTATTGTTAGAAATTCATAATCTTTAATCAAAGGATATAGTAGCATTACTTTCATGTTTCAAATCTGGATTACTGAGCAATTATTTGATCCATTAAATAAAACAAAGAATAAATTTTAAGAGTTTGCTTGCTCATTTGCTCCTGTTGATATTTAAATTCTTGAATTTGTAACTCAAAAATGTAGAAATACCTTTTTGTGGAAGGATGTTCAACTTCGGTATTTGCCTCTTCTTCCATTTTATTAAGAGTCTCTAGCATCTGTTTCTGTTCCTCATTCCACTGCTGCTCTCTTTGAAACATGAAAGGTAGGAAACGGCACAACAGATAAATAGTTTCCCTGGGCAGTCAAAAAAAGAAGAAAACTCACAGCATTCCAAAGTTAAATTACTGTATTACCTTTTCAGATCTTCTTCCAGTTGTTTATTCTTTGACTGAACTGTTGACAGCACCATTTCAAGATCATTTTTTACTTTCTGCAACTATAAAAGAATAGAAATTAAACTGTTTGCAGGTAGCCCAGACTGTAGTATTTGTTCTATGTAAGGCTACATTTGTAAATCTGATAAAAGGGAAGAAAATCATCTGCAATTCCTTAGTAAACATTAAAATCCAGTTTAAAATGCAGGAGCTATTGAAAACTTCACTGTGACCAGTTGCTCATTAGTGTCTTCTTGAAGCTCACAGAGCTTAACAAAATACTTAATTTTACCTGAAGTACACACATGAACTGCTCAGCGGATGAATGGCTGAGGAGAAAATGTCTACAGCACCAGGGCTCTATTGTCTAAACTATTGCAGTTGCTGGCAAGAATGAATCCATGCTACTTGCACCACATAAAATGTACAGAAAATGAAGATGCATCAAAGAAAGACTAACTGCATCCATTAATTAAATGATCCTCAGTGCTATGACATATCTGGGACAGGAAATACAGAGAAATAAAACTACTACAGTCAGAAGCTATAGGCATTGCTGAATCTAGGGAACAGTGGACTCTCAGTGGGCTGGGTCTTCCATTATAGAAATCACAGAATAGGTAAGGTTGTGTTGAGGAACACATTCAGTGCAGGTGGCTCAGTGTGCAGCTGCAGCAGAGCTGCAGGTTGAGCTCTGGGCTGAGCTCTGGCAAGAGCCCCAGGCAAGAGGCCGTGAACTGCCAACTCTGTAGAGCAGGGGGCCTGGGGGCCTGCGGCCCTGCCAGGGGAGGGGAGATTGAGACATGGCAGAAACTGATGACATCTGGATTTTTCTGTGTTTACACTGTGAGGGCATAAAGCCTTTTGGCTTTGAGGGTATAAAATTCCTTTTTTCTGGGTCCTTCCTCAGAGGCACCCAGCTCAAGCTGTTATTCTGTTATTATGCCATGATTAAATTATTTTAGGGATCAGGATGTGTGAACCTAGGGGAAGAAGGAAACCTAGGATTGAGCTGGTAAGGACACCTGATCTGTGTGAGTGTGGGTAGCTGTGAATGGGCTTAGTAACTGACACCACGGCTCCTGGATTGTTGGATGGGGAAGTTTCCTTAACCATTGTGACAGGCCACAGTGGGTCATGTGGACCAACCTCCCTGGTCAGGCAGGGGTCATCCAAGAGCACATGGCACAGGTTGCATCCAGACAGTTCTTGACAAACTCCAGCAAGGGAGACTACACAATCTCTCTGGGCAATCTGTTCCAGTGCACAGTAAAGAAGCTCTTCCTTGTGTTCTTGTGCATCCCATGGCCTCTTGTCCTACTGCTTGGCATCAATGAGAAGAGCCTGGCTCCATTCTCTTCAGACACTTGTATAAATTTATGAGATCCCCTGTTAGAGCACTATGGTCTTGTACAAAATAATGTTTCTTATATAAGCCTATGATTTGGATGTATTTTTTCTGCTTCCATACAAAATAAGAGCACCTAGGAATTTAGCTCAAAGAAATATACATTCTGAAAATATGCTACAGAAACAAATATGCTTGATATATATAACATCTGGAAAAAACCCTGTAATCCTCAAATATCAGATCAACATGCCAATCAAAGTGTGTAACCTAACAACTTTTTGATAGTGACTCTTAACAGCAGTCAGATTTGGGCCCCTCACTTTAGGAGGGACGTTGAGTTGCTTGAGCGTGTCCAGAGGAGGGCAACAAGGCTGGTAAGGGGCTTGGAGCACAAGCCATATGAAGAACGATTGAGGGAGCTGGGGTTGTTTAGCCTGGAGAAAAGGAGACTAAGGGGCGACCTCATCACTCTCTACAACTTCCTGAAGGGTGGCTGTGGTGAGTTGGGGGTCGGTCTCTTTCTCCGGGCAACAACAGATAGAACAAGAGGACACAGTCTCAAGCTGCGTCAAGGGAGATGCGAGTTAGAATTAAGAAGGAAGTATTTTACAGAAAGAGTGGTCAGATACTGGAATCATCTACCCAGTGAGGTGGTGGAGTCATCATCCCTCGAGGAGTTCAAAAAAAGACTGGATGTGGCACTTGTTGCCATGATCTAGTTGAATAGTTAGAACATGGGTTGGACTTGATGATCTTATAGGTCTCTTCCAGCCTTGAATTTCTGTGATTCTGTGATACTAGAAGGCATTAGACCCAGGAATATTCTCAAGTCACACAGCATTCCTATGTCCCATCAATATAGTATAATGTTACCCACAAGACATTATTGATTTGCTCTTTCTTCCAATGGAGGAACTCAACAAAATATTTGCAAATTATTGCCACAGAACTCAATGTCTAAGATAATTGACTCTTCCATGTAACACATAATATTGCATCATTTTCTATTAAGTATGAAATGCAATGTATTATAACATTTTGTTTAAAAAAGCAAACACTAATATCTTAAAGGCAGGTGTCTTTTCAGTGGTACAAAGTGATAGCACAAGGAGCAAGAGGCCCAAACTCAAACACAGGAATTTCCCTCTGAAAATTAGGAAAAACTGCTTTACTGGAGGGTGACTGAGCACTGGAACAAGCTGCCCAGAGAGGCTGTGGAGTGTCCTTCTTTGAAGATATTCAAAAGCCACCTCGACACAATCCTGTGAGACACTTAGGGGCAGGGTTTAGTGGTGGATTTGGATGGTTGGACTCGATCATCTTAGAGGCCTTTTCCAATCTAAACTATCCTATGATTCTATCTCCAGAGGTCCCTTCTAACTCCAGCCATTCTGTGACAGATTAGCAATTAAAATTCAGCCACAGATCAACTTGAAAACACAATTCTGAGTGGATCTTCTTGCCCTTGAGCAATGTTAACTGAAAGTACTCTTGAAAAGTACAGTGTGTAGGCTTCAGGCCTAGAAATGGATGCTGCTGCACAATGTTACAGATGATGGTTAAGTCTTTGCAAGGCATGGTCATCAGTCAAGATTTCTGTCTCCTGGTAGCATCCAGCACAATGGGACTCCAATCCTAAGTGAGGCCTTGGAGCATTAATGTAGCAGGGATGTCGACTGTCACATCATTTTCATTGCACACAGATAAGTTTGTTGAGCTACTGTGATTAGATGGTGTGTCCAGAGGCAAAATACTGTTTATTGTGCACTACTCAGTGACTTGTGCAGTAAGTCAGTTTAAAACCTCACTCATTACAACTAGGAAATTTTACTAGTTATACTAGAGGGGGAAAAAAGCATTAGAACAACATAAATGGCTGAAGGAAAATACACAGCATTTTAGCAGTCCACCCTAGGAACAGTCATGGGAAAATGCAGCAATTGCATGTATTGGTTTTTTTCCCAACACAATTTTATTAGATTTACCTCTTTTTTTCCCAATTCTAACAGTACATCTGGATTGGTAGAAATTACTGAAAAATAAAATGAATTGTTTATTTTTTCCATTGGATGATAAAGATTTATTTATACTGACAAGCAGCTTGGCTAGAGAGAAATTTGTGCAGCTTCTGAAAAACAGTTTGGCTCTCAGTAGCAGTTTAACCACATGCTGTGGTGTCCTGCCAGGCTAACCTACTATCACTAATCAGCAAATTAAATTAGACTGAAAAAAGTGCAGTGTTAATGCTTGTATGTTATTTTTATACCTGAACTGGCTGCAAATACATTGGTGAGGGTGTATAATGAATAAACAGCATATGTCTATACATTTCAAGACAATCAAGCCTGATTTTTTCAGCAGAAGGCATTCCATCAACATTACCAATGTGGGCAATCAAATTCTTCCAGTCCTCCAATTCCTTGTTAAATAGCCTCCTAGATGCTTGATCAGGACTATAGAACCTAGTTTTAATAACTTCAGAAGCATGTCACCATCCTTACTCTTCACAAAAACAGTAGGGAGATGAATGACCCAGCAAGGCCAATACCCTAACTCAAAACGCTGAGCAACAGCAATACCTAAGTGAAACCAAAGTACAATTCAAGAAGATGAAAATTTTTCTCCAGAATGCTTCTACAAAATGCAGTGATTTATGACTCATGCATTTTCAGAAAAAAGTTAAATTCTTGTTTTTTACAGCATTCAACAGACTCCAGTCAATTCTCAGATCCATGTCAACTTGCAGCTTGTGCATAAACATGTGACTTTTTTGAACTATTTCAATACATTCAATACAATGAATGATGTTTCATTCTCAACAGGAGAAATGAAAGCTATTCTAACAGATAAATATCTTTATAGGTAGACTTTTTGGTGCAAGTTTGGGCTTGAAATCTCTAATCTTACAAATAATTACTTAAATAAAAATTCCTTAATCACAAAGGAAATCCTTAACCCTCTCATGACAGCAATAAACATCTCCTAAATACACACAGTCCATTTAATAAATTCAGAAAAGTACTTTCTTTGGTAATGTTATAGTACTTACCTGAAAAATTTTAAGGAGCTTAAGATTAGTAGTTTTAAAAGCACTGTTTGTTCTGAGATGAAAATCAGAAAAACTACTGAAGCATCAAAAAATGCATTAAATTAAATTCTTCAATAAAACTCCTTTCAGTTCCAAAAAAATTGGAAAATTGCTGTTTCTAAATCTTGACACAAAATTTAAGTACTCTGCTCTCACTTAAGCTTAAGAGCTGCAGGAGACAGTGGTCTGTGCTTTATTAGAGTAAGATTTCTTTATTTACATGAATATACTACCTACATGTGATAAAATTAATTGGTGAGCTTTTATTCACATTCACTAGTATATTTGAAAAAAACCCATCCAATTCTTCCTCCTGCCACTTCCTGCTGACATCATCTTTATAAGCCTTCCCTTACCAAATATTACCAATTTTTACAACTGTCTCATAACGCTTCTTTATTTCAAGATACCTAATCCTGAGTTCATGCTTGCCATTCACTGTTCATATTGTGCGAGTATCAGAATAGAAGGCCCTGTGTTCCTGGGAAAGAAATCACTAGCCATAATTTAGTGAAGGAACAATGCAGATCTAAAACACTGGGACAACACACTTATGCCAGCTGCTGCTGTAAATTCACTGCTTGCTCAATCCACAATCAATTAAATATTTTTCAGTTTTGTTGAATCACTGCACTTGCAAAAAATCAAATGTCAGAGAGAATTGCCTAGTGATACACAGTACAATTACTAAGAAAAATACTACCAGATGCTAGGAATGTCAAAGCAACTACTATGCACATGTTTATACGGAAACTCATATTAAGACAAAACAAAAAGGTATTTGGCAGAATACTGCTATTTTGCAAAGAAAAACAGAATTTATGCAGAGACCACAACTGTTTGAAATGGTTTAAAATATGGTTGCTTTCACTTCCTGATTTTGCAAAGGTAAAAGTTAAATTTTATTTTTATAAGCCAAAAGCTTTTTTAGAAGTTTTAATTCAGCTGATTTAGCAGATCTAGAGCTACATAAATAATACCAGAAATCGAGAAAGAAAAAGACACTAAAGCAAAAGCTTTGCAAAAATAAAATTTGCATCGTGAATTCAAGTCTGTTTGCCAATATTGTGCTCAAAAAAATGTAGAACTGCCAAGCTATAACCTCTGAAAATAAGGTTTAAGACTGAAATGCTGACAGGTCCTCATTTACAGGAAATGAACTGGCCACTACTAAAAGCTAAAACCAAAGTTACAAGACGGCCTGACATTCATGCTCTATTAGTAAATTGTATTAAATCAGTATTTCTGCTATTTTTATTTAGATATAATCACATAATGTTTGCAATTAAGTAATTCCTCCTTCAAAACAAATAGTAGGTAGAAAGAAGCCAAGACAGAGAAGTAAGCAAAGGGGACTCCTCATTTCCATACAAGCACCATAACTCTATTCAAATTCTTAGCAGGATTTTTTTCTTCCACTGGAAAGGGAGCCAAAAAAGGCAGAGATTTGGTTGTAAAGTATTAATTATAGACAATTCTCTATTAAAAAATTAGGATTTCCAATAAGAAATATTATCATCTGGGAAGAAGTAAGAATGGTTGAACAAAGCAAGTCAGCAAGCCAAAAAAATAGGCCAAGGATATTTTTAAGCCAATAGCTTGAAGTTTAATATACATATTTTAGTACAGAAATCTAACAGCCTCAGGTATTTTACCCAGATAAAAACTAAGTTCTTTCAATTAATTTGCTTTAAGCCAGCAACTTATTCATGAACAGCAGCCAGGAACCAGTATGTTCCAAATTCATTCAATGACATGCCTTTGGTCTACATACCTCAGTAGCACTGGAGGCTGACAGTTCTTGGAGTGAGGCTTACAACACTGAACTATGAATTTATTCTAATACAACAACAGTATCTCTTTATACAAAAAAAAAATTGTAGCTTCTCTTATTTAGTGATGAGATGCAGCAAATACATAGACTTTGAAAAAAAGTTGGAGAACTGCTTCTGATGTTCATCTGAAAAGGCATTTCCATTTGGCTAAATGACAAAACATTGGAAATCACCACATGCTGTCTATAACACATTCCTATAATTTTGCAAATATTATAAAACCAAGCCTTTACTGGCATAAAAATATTCAATTGAGTCAATATATTAATTTAAAGATTAACTAGAAGTTTTACTGGATTGACAGGTGCTAACAGGTCCTTGACAGGAGACATAACCATGAGTACTACCAGAATATTAATGACAGTGTAGTGTGAACTGTTTTAGGAATGTCCATATGGGACATCTGGAAACAAAGATTACTTTAGTCACACTTAGATCTTGAATGCTTTTATTTCCAGCGTCTGGCCACATCAGCCTTGCAAGAGGGTAAAATTTATCAGCAGTGGTGCTTATGTACAAAGAGAACTTTGAAGAACTGAGGAATTGATACCTTTTGACTGATAATGCCTAACAAATATAAGAATTACCACTAGTCTCAGTGGTTTGTGCTTCTCAGAATCAGTAAGTGTTCTGGATTCCTGCATTTTTTAAAAATTCTAGTTGCTCTTACCACTTTATCTTGACTTGAAATCTCCAATCCCTGCTAATTCAAAATAGGTATTTCACTACAGTGTAAAGGGCTTAGCACTAAAGGTCTATTTTAAAGTTTCAACTGTCACATCATAATACTACACACCTTTAATCAGAAAAACAATCAGAAGATGTATGGTTAATGTATCAGCTTCTTAAGACAAAATTATTTGCCAAAATATTTGTGTTCTAAAAACAAAATACAAATAAAAGATAGAGAAAAAACAATCACTCAGAAAAGAATATGAAGGAGGGTAACAGGATAATTAACTTTTTTTATTTGGTTAGGAGATCTGCTAATAGTTGTTTTTCCATTTAATTGACCGATGAATTGTGATATGAATCATGCATTTATTTGTCCAGAATCATAGGATTAAGTTATAGTGGAATTCACTTTTAATTTCAAGTTGACTTAGAACTGAAGTGCAAAAATAATGAAGAAATGAAACATACATGCTACTTTTTAAAGTAGCATTATTTTAATTTTTAAGTAGTTACGGAATGAAAATACAATCAGCAGACATTCAATATACTCATGGCCTAGATGAAAGAAACTTTGCAGAAGGTTATACAAACATTCTTTACAAGGAAACAGTTACTCACCTTCAGGATTTCTTGCTTGCCACTGACGAAAATCTACTGTTAAAGCTTTCCATCGCAGCATTAACAAGGAAAGCTGTGTAACAAGAAAAGAAGGATCTCTTGAAGTGTGTTGAGTTGCATTGGCATAAAATGAGGTGGAACAGGATAGAAATCGAATTGTTAAGTTAATACAGCAGAAAACAAAAGAGCATCTATTACAATAGAACACTAGTTTCTTCAAAATATTTTACAGTAATTCACAGGGATCATGGAATGTTTCTATTATTTTTTCAAAAGGGGGAAATGAGGAGGAGTCAGAATTGGCAGAGTTGTGAAGGCCCTTCAGAGGAAGGTTCATACAGGTAAAGAAATACTTTCTAATGTCATTTCTGATCCACCCTTTGCATATCTTTGAACCATTCCTCTTCGGTCCCGCGCCGGGGCGGCGCGGCTCGGTTCCTGCAGCGGCGGCGCGCCCGTGCCGAGTTCGGAGTAGCACAGCACCGCAAGCGCCATGAGCTGTGGCTGCTGTTTTGCGCTCAGAGGCGTAGTGAAAAAGTGCACCGTACATCACCCGCCATGGTTTGCTTAGCTTCTTGGCAGTTTTATCACTCTCTAAAGCAGCCTCCCACAATAAATCACCGAATTCACGGCATCCCGTTAAGTCGTAAACCTTACGGAAAATCCCTTTATCATAGCCGTAAGTCCAAAGTCCTTTTAATTCCTTTTGCCAATTCATCCCCTTAATTTGCCTTTTTTGCAAGAAAGTAATAAAAAGTTCTATGCGGCTTGCCTTTCCATACCTATGTAAATGAGCGCGCTCTGCAGCACCTGAAGGTCATCGGCCGCATGTACCAGCCAAGACTCGTCTTATACGGTCGCTTGGGGTGCGACACGTCTCGGCGGGCTTCGTCCGCTTTGTTTATGCGAAACCCGCTTGGTTTATTCGTGCTTACTGCCGTTCCGCAGCTGCTCCTCGGAACCTGGACAAGTCCTCATCTCCCGTGGTATGCCCGCATTCTCCACCATTTGTCGGAGATTGCGGGGAGAACGACCATCCTCTAATGCATCGAACTCCCCGTGGTGTTCGCAATCCCCGAAAGCGTTCGCTATCACGTCCAGGGGTCAACCATTTGTTGGAGAATGAGGGGAGAACGACCATTCTATAATGCATCGAACTCCAATTTTATTGATCAATCAATCACCTTAAATAACAGTGTTAACGAACTTCATGCATATTCTGTAATCCAATTTCATGATAGGCTAACAGAGAAATTTCTAACCACTCCCTTTGTTTTAGAATACCTACAACTGTTTATTAAAAACAGAACCAGAGTTCCCAAAACTTCTACATCTGTTCCCAGGATGCCAGGCCTTCCCAGAGACGGTATTCTGCTTGTTATGGGAAGACAGTCTGAGAACTTTATTGTTTATAAAGTGATGCCTGAGAGAGTCTAATTGTTTATACAAATCAGAAGGCTGAGAACTGTTAGAAACTGCTTTACTTTTCCCTCTTACTTTTCTCTCAATTGTATGTCTCATGGCCTTTTTCTTTAAGCCATTCTTGAACTAAACTCTCCACACATTCCCACACATAATATCACTGGATATCAGGGAGAAGATATCAGCATCTCCATCTCCACTTCCCTGAGGAAGATGTAGAATGTAATCAGAAAAAAACCCTCAGCTCCTTCTCTACAAAGTAGAGAAGCCCAAAGTCCTCAGCAGTTCCTCACAGGACATGCCTTCCAGCCTCTCACCAGCTTTGTTGCCCTCCTCTGGATGTACTCAAGGACCTTCACAACCTTCTTAAACTGTGGGGCACAGAACTGCACTGAGCACTGCAGGTGAGGCTGCACAGCCCTGAATACAGGGACAATCCCCTCTCCTGTGGCTGGCAGTGCCACGCTCCAGGCTCCTGGGATACTGTGTGCCCTCTGGGCTGCCAGGGCACGCTGTGGGCTCTGTCCTCTCTCCTGTGGCTGGCAGTGCCCCGCTCCAGGCTCCCGGGATGCCGTGTGCCCTCCGGGCTGCCAGGGCACGCTGTGGGCTCGCCCTGAGCCGCTGTCAGCCAGCGCCCTCAGAGCCCTTCCTGCAGGGCTGCCCAACAGCCACTCCTCTCCCGCTGGCTTGCTGATATTAGATGTCATGCCATTGAGGATTGCCCAATGTTCTAAGCTAGCTCCATCCCTCTGCAAGGCCTCTGGTCCCTCCAGAGTGCCAACCATCGTCCAGTTTGGAGTCATCAGCCAGTGTGCTCACGGTGCATTCCAATCCTTCATCCAGGTCACTGATAAACACATGGAACAGAGCTGAGTTGCACCCTGAGGAACACCGCTGGTGGCTGGTCACCAGCCAGATACAGCCCCAGTCACTGCACCCCACTGAGCTCTATGCTTCAGACAGGTCTTTACCCAGCACACTGCGAACCTGCTCATCCTACAGCTGCACAGTCCCCAAGGATACTGTAAGGGATAGCACAACAATGACATTTAACAAGAAGAAATTACATATGCACTGATTAGGAAAAAGTCCAAACAAGTATTAAGTTACACCCCCTTCTCCTCCCATTTTGCTGCCTATGTTAGTCATTTATCGGTTGCATTTTTCAAACTTAGTAAGAGAAAATCTGTCCTGATTTTGATTCCTGAGGCTTCAGTTATATTTCCTCTCCCCTGTCCAGATGAAGAGGGGAGTGATGAACAGCTAAGCTGGCCAGATAGGATTAAACCCGCCACAGGGAACTGGCAGGTGAAGTGGTAAAGCCACTATCCATCACATTTGAAAAGTCATGGCAGTCTGGTGAAGATCCCACCAACTGGAAAAGGAGACACACAACCCATATTATTAAGAAGACAAAAACAAAAATGTGTAAACTACAGATTGATCAGTCTCGCCTCTGTGCCCAGCAAGACCAAGGAGCATATCCTCCTTGAAATTATGCTAAGGCATGTGGAAAATTAAGAGGCAATTGTTGTTAAGCAACATGAATTTAAGGGCAAATCACGCCTGACAAATTGGGTGGCTTCCTATAACAGGATTAGGGCATTGGTGCATAAGGTAAGAGCGACTGATGTCATCTATTTGGGAGCTGTGCAAAGCATTTGACACTGTTTGGAACAACATGCTTGTCACTAAACTCTTGAGACACAGATGTGACAGACTGCTCATTGGGTAAGGAATTGGCTGGATGGTGACACTCAGGTACAGTCAACAGTTCAGCATTCAGGTGAAGATCCACGATGAGGGGGCATTGCATAGGCCATGTTTCTGAGACAGGCACTATGTAACATCTTTGTCAGGGACATGGACAGGGGCATCAAGGGCACCCTCAGCAAGTCACTGACAGCACCAGGCTGTGTGGGACAACTGACACACTGCCGGGAAGGGATGGCATCCAGAGGGACCTGGACAGGCTTGAGAGCTGTACTAGTATGAAACTTATGAAGTTTAACAAGACCAAGCACAAGGTTCTATGCCTGGGTCAGGGCAACCAACCCCCAGTATCAATACAGGCTGAGTGAGAGCAGCCCTGCGAAGAAAGATCTGGGAATCTTGGTGGATGAGAAGTTCGACATATGCACTTGCAGTCCAGAAAGCCAATCATAACCCTGCATCAAATACAGCATGGCCAGCAGGTAGGTCAAGGAAGGGGATTCTGCCCCTCCACTCTGCTCTGGTGAGACCCCACCTTGAGTGCTGCCTCCAGCTCTGGGGTCCCCAACATAAGAAGGATGTGAACTTGCTCAAGTAAGTCTGGAGGAGAACCACAAAGATGATTGGAGGGCTGGAATACCTCTCCTATAAAGACGGGTGAGGGGAGTTGAGTTTGTTCAGCCTGGAGAAGGCTCCAGGGAAACACTACAGGACCTTGCAGTACCTGAATGGGGCCTAAAAGAAAGAAGAGAGACTGTTTACAAGTGCATGTAGTGATAGGGCATGGGGAAATGGCCTTAAGATGATAGAGGGCAGGTTTAGATTAGATACTGGGAAGAAATTCTTTATTGTGTAAGCACAGAGACACTGGAACTGGTTGCCCAGAGAAGCTGCAGATGCCCCATCCCTAAGAGGGTTCCAGGCCAGGCTGGAAGGGGCTTAAAGCAACCTAATTTAGTTGAAGGTGTCTCTGCCTATGCCTGGATTAGAACTGGATGATCTTTAAGGGCTTTTCTAAGGCAGGCCATTCTCTGATTCTACGGTCTTAGCAGAAAATTGAGTATTTTTAAAAACCCACTGTCTTACCTTGGCATCTGATGGTAGCAGTGTCTCTGTTCCTAGAAGCATTAGCTTGCTCTGACACTTGGTAGAAACAAAAAGAAATAAAACGCAAAGAAAGTTTTTTACTCTTCTCTTTTGTAAGAACAAAATGCAATTCTTAGAAATTTAAACACAACTTTTAAAATATAGAAATAAATGAATTTTAACTTGGATCCTTCCACATCCCCTATACCCTAACCCAGAAGAGCAAATTAAGAAGTTTTGAAATCACAGCACAGAAAAGTAACCCTTAATTAACTCTGAAGGAGAGAAGTAGCAGCTAAAGAAAGATGTATTCTTTGAGTAAAAAGGCAAGTTATGAGGGAAAAGTTCATATGGGGAAAGGCATTGAACGGATGAAGAACATGAGAAACTGAGAAGAGAGTCATGGACAAGGCTGAACAGTATTCCCTAAGAACTGACAGAAGTTTATCTTTTCTGGGAATCCAGAAAATAAAAATAACCACCCCTAAACTGTTATTTGTTAACATATTGTGCTTTGTACAAGAGAGAAGTTCTAACCGTGACAATGTAACTGTGAGTTTGCAAGGGAGTAAGCATAGGGAGACATCAAAGTCCTCCTCTGCCTCTCTCTCATCCTATTCTCTCTCTCTCCTCTAAGATCCAAAGGACGTGTGAAATGGAATCCCATCTTTTGTGAGGCTAAAGAGAGAAGGGTCTCTGTATGCTGGTACTACCACAACACAAATAAATTCTTTCATTTTCCATAATTTTAATATACAGTCCCACACTAAATAAATAGTAACATCAGCACATTGACTTTACAAAGCATTCTGCACCCCTCCAAGCACTTCTACATTTGACCTTTCTGAAGATACTATTTCCTTTTTTTTTTCTGTTTGTTTGTTTCTGATTTTTTGCTTGTGTGGGTTTTTTGGTTGGTTGCTTGGTTTGGTTTTATCAGAGTGGTTTCTTTGGAGAGGGTGGGGCAAGAATGTGGTGAATAAAATAATTCTGAAAAAGCACTATAATAAACCTTGTCTATCATTGATATTTGCATACCTCTTCAATCTGCTTCCAAATACTCTCACATTCATCCAAGAGTTCTTCCTTGGCTTTGAGAGGACCAGCTGTGTTGCTGATTTCTGATGAACATTCAGCCTATTAACAAGCAAAGAGAACATGTTATCATGTAGATCTACAATAACTGATTACTTAATCATCCTTGCCATTTCAGATCAACTATGCAACAGAAAAAACTCCCTTAATCCAAAGCTTTTAGCTAACTCCTGCATAGTTTTAGAAAGCACCCAGCCATTAAGTAAAATCTGCTAACTATATAACTAAGTAGAGTCAGTGTCTAAGAAGAGACTAATAATTTAATTTCAAAATTGAATGACAAAATCCTAAATGTTCATAACTGCTTTGATTATTTGCAATGGCTTCTTTATTTTCCAACAACTTTATTATAGAAACAATAAGGGAGTCTCACATCTACAAAGCCACGCTCTACCTCCATTTATCTGCAATATTTATTATGTATTTTATATATATGTTTCTTTTTAAGCACTTACTTCTGTTCTGTCAATAAAAATGGTAATCTATTTCTCTTTCATTTGAGTTCAGAATATTTTTGATTAACAAATTAAGCACCCTCAAAGTTACTAGAAAAACAAACAAAAGAACCTGAAAGAACATACAGACAACCAAGGAAAGAGAGCACCTGGGGAGCCAAAATAAAAATCAATCCAAGTTAAATTAAAAACTTTAAGAAATTGTTGGGTCAGAAAGAAACAGCTGGAATTAATTTATGAATTTGTATGTTTCTCACTTAAGAGATACCTGAATGACAGCAGCAATTAACAGGGGAAAAATAAGAAGGAGTAAAATTTTTTTCCCAGGGAAAACAATCAACAGGCTAGATATACCAGATGCAGGAGGCCTTTAAAAATACCTTAATGGGTCACTAGACCCACCAAACACATAGAGGTTAAACAGAAACGTTAAAAATAGATAATGATCTAGAGAAGAATTACACTTTTCTGTGGGGGCCTGAATATATATATTGTTATAACAGCAATAAGAATACAAGAACTGAAATGTAGTGAGAGTCCTATGTGTTAGATAAGTGGGTCCTAGCTATTCTAAATGAGTCACAGCTGCAAAGTCCTTAGTTGGGCAGCAGCTGTGGCTTGTAAAGATAGCTGGGATAAAAGGGGTGGGTCGAGAGTCCAGGAGGGGCCCCTGAGAAACTGCACTACAGAAAACAGAGACCAGCAAGAAGGTATGGACTCCTTAAGAATATAAGAACAACAAGATAACAACAATACAACACTTTTCTGCCTTCTGATTGAAGCATAAATTACTAACTCAATCTTTTGTTCTTTTTCAGTACAAAAGCACAGCATCAGAGAAAATTATTATTATTCTTTAAAAGGAGTGAAATATTCTACTAGTACAGAGCTCTACAAAATCTAGGTTACCATGATCTTATAAGAACTAATGAGCATAGATTTTGGAAAGCAAGATCATTATCTTCTTAAGAGTCTTGGAATGGCTCCATAATATAAAACAGAACCAGTTCCCATAATTTATTAAGACTTCTGAAATGCCTCCAGCAAAGACTGCCCAGAAGGAAGAAACTAAGAAAGAAACTAAGCAGTCTTAGTTTTTTCTCAGACAAAAAAAAAAAAAAAGAGACAATGAGAGTTTGGGGGGATAGTGGGGAGACGGGAGAATAAAAGGGAGAAAAAGAACCCCATGCTTTGGAAATTTAAAGGGGTCATGGGGTGGGATAAAAACCTATTCTGCCCATATCCCCTGCAATACTATAATTCATCGCTATTAAAGCATTATATGGAATAATAATGCTTTCTCTTCTCTGAAGAGAAAGACAGAAAACCTCTATCACACAAAATGATGAAATGATTCTGTTGATAGCTTTAAATTTCTGGGTCAATTTCATACAACATTTCAAAATGTACATATTGCGAGACATGACAGGGCTCTCACAAGCCAAACTGACCTGCCGTCCTTAATGCTGTGCTCTTATCTACCTTACACAGTACACACAATGAAATGTCACTTCTGGATCTTATTTTCTTGTAGCATGCAGTTTTCCCCATTTCAGTATGGTTAAATTACGTTTTTATTTCCACACCATACCTGAAAACTTAAAGCTTTTTTGGCATTAATACTAATGCCTTCCATTTTCAACAAGTTATTCCTTCTTACTTTGTTTTAGGACTATATAATTAGGTAAGAAATACACACATGTGCAAGTGTAGGCTCTATGCTAGCCAAGGCTTTACAAAAAAAATCACAGGATGGGTCAGGTTGGAAGGGACCCCAGGGGGTCATCTGGTCCAACCTCCCGTTTGAAGCAGGGTCATCCCAGAGTACATGGCACAGGATTGTGTCCAGATGGTGCTTGAGTATCTCCAGTGACGGAGACTCCACAACCGCTCTGGGCGATCTGTTTCAGTGCTTGGTCATCTGCACCGTAAAGCTCTTCCTCATGTTTAGGTGGAACTTCTTGTGCATCAGCTTCTGCCCATTGCCTCTCGTCCTACTGCTGGGCACAGCGGAGCAGAGCCTGCATCCATACTCTTGGCACTGTCCCTTTCATACCCGTACACACACATGAGGAAGGCGAAATGCGTCCTGTGACCCAGCACACAAACACCAGCTGCGGGCAGACGGCGAGGGAGGGGAGAGGAAAGCGACGGAAGGTTTGTGAAAGAGACACGAAGGCACCTTAGGAAGCAAAATATCGGCAAGGTACAAACAACATCTCAAAAGCGGTGAGACAGGGAGCCCCCACCGCCAACCCCCGCAGCACAACGGCGGCAGGACGTGAGGCGGGACATTCCCGCTCACAGCCCAGGCATGAATCTCGCCCCTTCCCAGCCGGGAAGCCAGCGCCCTCCCCACAAAGCAGCCCCGCGGCCCCAGCGGCCGAGACCGCCTCCCGGCGCCAGGGTGCCCTGAGCGCCGGGGGCCGCCCGGGGCTCGCCCGCCACCCTTCCCGCCCGTTACTACTATGGCCGCTTCCCGCCGTCCGAGCCGCGGCGTGCACGTCACTCGCAAAGCGCCCGGCGCAGGGCACTGACGTCAGCGCCATGGCGTCCGCCGAGCCGGAGCGCAAGCGAAAGCCGCCGGAGGTGGAGGCGGGCGCGGGCGGCGATCCGGCGGCAGCGGACGAGGACGATGAGGAGGAACGCTGGGTCGGGCCGCTCCCGGGGGAAGCCGCGCAGGCGAAGAAAAGGAGAGGTAAGGGGAGGAGTGGGAGGAGTGAAGCTCTGCCCCGACTGGGGTCGGGGCGGTGGGATCGTGTCCAGGCCACGCCGTGCGGGAGCGGCCGTGGGGTGAGGGCAGCTGTCGGGAGCCCGGCTCCTGAAGCTGCGTCTCGTATGTAAAATGAGCACACTGAGGGGAAACCTTCAGATGCGGAATTACAGAGCGGGGGTTCCTGGTGCTGAGAAACTTGTGGCCGTTCAGTCTGCAGAAGAGGAAGTTACGTGGAGACCTCATAGCAACCCTCCAGTACCTAAAGGGACTTAGAAGGAAGGTGGAGATGGACTCTTCGACAGGAACTGCAGTATAGCATCAAGACTAGTTGGTGCAAACTGAAAAAAAGAAAATTCAGGTTAGCGATAAGAAAAAAATTTTTTACTGTGAGGTGCTGGCACAGGTTGCCCAGTGATTTTTTTTGGGTGCTGCAACCCTGGCAGTATTTAAAACCAGGCTGAATAAGGCTTGGAGCAGCTTCGTCTAGTAGGAGGGGGCTAGATGGTATTTAAGGCTTATTCTAGCCCCTTAACATTCTGTGACTCTAAGACCTTTGCTTCCTCTGGAGAGCACCTTAAGGCTAAGAGCCCTGCTGCTGTGCCGGCTGAAGCTGTGCTGTTTATTGTTGTAGAGTTAATCCGTCTTTCAGATCACCACCCTAAGCTGCAGCAGCAGGAGAAGCCTCTAGGCTGTGTTTTGGCATGTGGTGTTGATGTGTGCAGCAACTTCCAACTCTCTGGGTATCACTTAAAGTTTTCTTTAAGTAAAAAAAACAATGATCATCAGATGTAAACATGCAAGTTTGGTAAAAAATACTGTTGCACAGGTGTTAACAAGTAGGATCTAAAGATCAGAAACAAAACTCAAAATCAGATTATTTTAGATTGGCCAGTTAAACAATGAAATAGGTGGATACCAGCGCTTAAAATTTAGACTACAGGACCTGTGTGGGATCACAAATCTTGTAAAAACAACAGGGATACATGTGGTTTTAGAATGAAATGTGGTTCAGATGACCTTCTGTTTTCTGGCAGTAACTTAAAAGCTGTTGATTGACGTTGTTTCTTCTTGAAACAGCAAGACAGTTACTGTAACAGTTGCTTTAAGAGGGAGAAGCAATATGAGTTAAAGCAGCGTTTGAGTGGCTTTAGTCCACAGAAAATGTGTAAGTCTGAGTGCAAAGCCAGACCTAAAAGCCCTTTAATTATGTTTGCACAAAATCCTGCATGTTTTTGACTAAACATGAGTAAGCAATAAAAGGATAAGTAAAAGAGAACAAAATGTAGAATAAACATGAGTAAGCAATAAAAGGATAAGTAAAAGAAAACAAAATGTAGATGTAACATGAAAAAAAAAATCCTGACTTTTCTTTCTATTCTGTGTAGTTCTTGAATTCGAACATGTTTATCTTGAAAATCTTCCGTCAGCTTCAATGTATGAATGCAGTTACATGCACAGAGATGTTATTACACACGTGGCATGTACAAAGTAAGTGTTTTTGTTCTCCGTTGTATTTCTTCGTCTGGGGTGTATTTTTGTGTAGGCTGAGAAGTTTTCACTGTAGAAGCTTTATAACAGAAAGTTGCAGTGTCCTGAGGTGGTTTTTTAAAGGATGGTGGGTTTTTAAAAAAAAAAAAAAAGTTATATCTTGCTTACCTAGAAGCAAGATTCAAGTTGTTTTTATAGGCTAAAAGAGAGTCTTAAAATCCTTGTTAAAATATGCAGGAAATACAGGAGTAAGTAATAACTTACTCCCTCTGAGAAAATACTGTTCACCAGAATTGCAGAGATCACACTCACACACACATTGTAACTACCATGAAACCAGACTTAAAATAGGAGTTACATTTACATATTCAAAAATGATAGTGTTATATTTTTCTTCATTTTGACTTTTCATGGATTAATCCAGAATGCACTAAAATACCTGTTTTGTTTTTCCAGGAGTTAAAGTACCCATTCAGACAGACTGTCACAGTAACTTCTTGAGATTCATTCTCTGCACAGTGTTAATTCTAGTGCAAATTACTGACCAGTGGGAAGGTGCATAGTGTGTGCATCTGTTTTCTTTATTTTATTTTTCTTTTCTAATTGTAGGACAGATTTTATCATAACAGCCAGTCATGATGGACATGTAAAATTCTGGAAGAAAATAGAAGAAGGGATTGAGTTTGTTAAACACTTCCGAAGTCATTTGGGTGAGAAGTTGTTCTTTCTTATCTAAAGGAGTTTACTTTTTCCTCTCCCTTGCTCTTTGTTGTTTGAAGAGAGAGTGCAAAAAGAGAGTTTCTGGGGTTCCTTTAGTGCAGTCAGAGATTAAATGATATCTACCAATATTCCTTTTATTCCTCTGTCCTGTTACATTTTGCTCCCAAGCTGTAGCAGGGATAGGATGAAAATGAAACATGAAAATGAAAAATGAGACCTTTGCATTGCCTTGTGCCTGATTGTGGGAGAATATCTGGGACATAAATGAACAAGATATAAAAAAGTGTTCATAAAATCCAGAGAAGTTTAAAAATATGTTACTTTAAATAAGGATGCCTCAGTCTTTTTTTTTTTCCCCTTGCTGTGTGGAAAAAAAGTAGTTATTTTCATCTGGAATACTGTAACTGTACAGTAAATTCTGCATTATTGTTGTAATTATCTGAAGAATTGTAATTGAGAGAAACTTTAACCCAATTTTCTGAGCTAATAAGTACACAAAGGTTTTCAACACTATGCTAAGCATTAAATAGGCTGGACAGAAAATTATATTCTCAGCAGTATTAGAAACTATGATATGCCTGAAGCAAAAAGATCCAGTTTGATAGGCAGAATGTTACAGTAAGAGAAATATTTAATAATAGGTAGTAAAAGCATGGTTTCCTTTTAGAGTGACAAGAAATACTAAAGTCTGGTTTTGATGTTAACTGTCAGCTTCTTATTATGTATAGAGGCAAAAGGTGTGAACAAATCCTACCATGTGAAAAATCAGCATTGTGAGAACTTTATGGAAGGCTCAGTTGCAGAGGAGTTTTGAGTATCATGGGTGTAATACTCTGTAGAGTTCTGCTTCTTTTACCCTGTTGAGAGATGCCAGCTGAGGATCACGTGATGTTTACCCCATCATAATGTTCCCAATTTTCTAAAATCAACATTTTAAACTAAATTTACTGCCATTATAATATTTTACTATGTTTTTTGTAAATTGTTGATTATCACATACCTGAGTCTAAATACTGATAGGCTATCAAGTGCTGATTTGTGGATTTTATTTTTTAAAATAATATTTAATTGAATTCAGGTAGAGTTTTAAATGGAAAAGGTGACAAAACAGTTGGGAAACAGGTTTAAGCCTCTGTAGGTTTTCCGTATGTAATACTGGAATGAAGGATGTCCTTTCCTATTTCTTAATAGTATCTTAAATTAATTCACAGGTGTTATTGAGAGTATTGCTGTGTTATGGTTTGACACTGGTACAATGCCAGTGCCCCCCATGAAAATACACCTCTCTCCCTGGCATCTGCTGTGAGGTGATACCCGGGAATAAGCAAAGCAGGCTCCTGCTTAAGGAAAAAAGGAAAAAAACTTTATTAACTAAACTACAAAAAGTAAACTACAAAAGAAAAGGGAAAAAAAAAAAAAAACAAGGAAAATGAAAACTACACAGAACCACTTCCTTATCCTCCTCCCACCAAATTCCCAGTACATTTACATTTCCCAAAATTATCCACACTCGGTCTGGCACCACCCTTTAGAAAAATCACATCTTCAGCTCATAAGGGATAGACGGAGTCCTTCCTTGTGCCACGGACTTCTTGTCACAATCAGAAACCGCCCGGAGTCTTGCTATCTCGTGACATCTCCTTTCCATGCCAAGGTGCTCTCACCACCAGGCATGGGATGGGGCAGGGGCCTGCCTTCAGGGCCTTTTAAGGATGCCTCGTCTCGTTCCAAGCAGAGCACAGTCTCATCTCTGGGACCTTTGTCCCCCCCCATTTCTTCTATACCCCCTGGGGCCGAGGGGGTCTCAAAACCAAACTCTCTTGACTCCGAGCCTCCACTTCCCCCTGCAATGCAGCCTCTGTATCACCAGGAAACAGTCCATGGATATACAACAAAAAAAGAGTCCAGCAAAGATTGCCACTCCATCTTCCTCCATTCCTTCAACATCTCTCTTTCTCTTTGCCAGACCCCTTTACTGGCCTATTTCTTCCTTCATCTTCCACTCTTATCCCTTTTCTAGGAAAGGTAATGCTCTGTGAAGCTTTCACTATCCACAAGGGTTAAAAGCTGTCCCAGGCGGCCGGACTGCCCGCTGCCCCCCGCCCTTCTCCTCCAGCCGTGCTGCCAGCACATGATATCAAGTTTCAAGGTAACAGTACAAGCACGGGCTGCATTCTCTCCGTCTCCAAAGGGGGGGGGGGGATAAACAGGTCGCTCAATGCTCAGCCACCCTTCCACCGAATCCGGGCCTACTGTAGATGGACCACGTGGCTTTCCCCTCCCCCAGCCCAGCCAGCAACTGGGCCGGGGGAGAGACCACATTCCTTCCCGCCGGAAATCCCAAGAGCCCTCTGAAGGACAAGAGCCCTGCTTTTAACTCCTTGGGTTTGTAGTCTCAAGAGGCGGATCCAAATGCCCCACTGGTCAAACCAGGTGCTCATCTTAAAATCCGACCACCCATTGGTAACCACAGCAAAACAACATATCCCAGATGTCCCATTTCCGGTCAAACCACGACATGCTGTTAGTTCAGAGGGGGCGTTGTTCTCTTCTGTTGGAGATGACAAAGCGATGAAGGTGTTTGATGTAGTCAACTTTGACATGATCAACATGCTGAAACTTGGGTAAGTTACTTATTTCTCAGAAGTGTTCGTTTGAGTTTATCAGTGGGGGTTGTTTTGAGAAGAGATAAGTCAGTAATTTGGGGTTCTTGAGTTCTTCCCTTTCCCCCATGCCTCAGTCATATGAAGTTGAGTAAACCTGCATCTGAAATTAATCCAGTGGCTGGAGACTGCCTGACTGAATAGAAAAAATTACAACTGTAGCACTGGAAGAGAGGAGTAGAAAAGGAGCTTCCTCAGTGTTACATATTATGCACAAAGATGTGGGGTTTCTTCAAATATTTAGCTAGTAATAATTTCTTTCTGTTGTTTGGCACTGAGTTTAAAAATTACAGTCTGTTAGTAGTTCCATTAGGGAAGGGATTTGGCCTGCCTGTATTGTCTCATTTGTTGTCATAGGGATACAATTTCCTTTTTCTGCTAGAAGCAATATTGTTTTTTTCTTTAGTCATATAGTTACACAGTATGTACCTAAAGGATCTGGGAGACACAGGAATGGATGTTACTGGAATTATAACAATACCAGAGAAAAACGAACCCCACACCATGATGTATTGGTTAGTTTTGAAACTGAATAGAAGTATAAAGTCAGGGAATGAAGCCTTTACAAAGAACATGTAATAAAAGCATATGCTATCTGCTTTGTTTGTTGCAGTTTTAATGTCATCATCCAGATAATGTACTTCACCTGTAGGAATTGATTGTCTCTGTCTATTCTGGAAAAATTCCAGTTAAGCTTAAGCTTTTCGGTTTTGCTGTCATTTTTGACGTAGCCCTGTACTGTTATTACAAAATTGGTAAAATTATAGAAAAAATAAAATTATATTCAAAAAAGCACGCCTGATCTTCAGAGCTTTCAAGTTCTATAACTAATCTATAGACCATGGCTCTCTGCAAATCTTTAGCTCTCTGCTTTATGCTTCCATCTGTCATCTGGAAAACGTTGCCTATTTCTGCAGAGACTTCATATTTATTTGATCCTGTTCTTCCTAATGAATTTCAGACAAAGTATTTGTTTCTCTTTACAGACAGAAATTGAAAATCCAAATTACTGGTGTCTTGTCATAATGTCAGAATATCATCAGTCCATCAGCATCCATTAGTTCAATTTGTAAAAGGATACGAAACGTGTTTCCTCTGGAGATTGTATAATTTTTTTGATGTTTGCAATTTAGTTTGAGTTCTAGTTTTCAGAAACTTTGCTTACAGACTTTAAAACAGATGTAACTTATATTATTGACTGTATCTCTGACTTATTTTATTTGCAGATTTTTGCAAGTAGCAAATGAATTCCTTCTTAAATGCACTCACAACCTTTATTGAATATAGGGGGATTGTCTTAATTTTGTTTGTATCACTTCTTGGAGATTTTGTGGGTTTGTGGTTTTTTTTCTGGCAAGATCTATTTGAACTTTTGCAAAAGTGTATGGCAGAGGTGCAGTTGTCTTCAATACTACTGAGTCATTACTCACTTTAAAGATGGAGGAGGAATGGTATTGACTTACATAAGTTGAGTACTGTATATTAATGCCACTTGGGCTTTTAATCTGAATTTCTGTCCAAATTAATCCTTTTTACCCACTTTCTACTTGGACTATCACAGCCTCTTTACAAAACAATATGGAAGGAACAGAAATTGGTAGTCTTCTGCTGAATGGTATTTCTTGGTAAAACTTGCCTATAATGTGCTCAATATTAGCAAGATATGTATTAGCAGAACTAGTAAATAAAGTTTAAAATTTGCTTCTGATGTTTGATTTCAAGTTTACAGCATAATTTGACTCTTACCTGATTAAAACAATTCCTACTTTATTTTTAATTTTTTTCCTTTCTACTCTTTGTTGCAGCTACCACCCTGGCCAGTGTGAATGGGTATATTGCCCTGGAGATGCTATATCTTCTGTTGCAACATCTGAGAAAAGTACAGGGAAAATATTCATATATGATGGACGAGGAAATAACCAGCCACTTCACGTTTTCGATAAACTCCATATGTCCCCTCTTACTCAGATACGCCTGAACCCTGTCTACAAACAACTTTATAAATGTTGTAAAGCTCAGTATGTTTATTTACGGCGCCGGACACATGCGGAGAAAACTCTCCTCAAAAGGCATGTGTACCTCTGAGGATTTCAGGTCTCCTTTTATCTCCCCTTCCAAATACATATGCATACAGTTTCACAATAGGTTCATACATATTCATTTTGCGTGACATTTATCGCCAGTTCTTCTTTATCAAAAGAATTCCTCGGTCGGGTGCAGATCGACCTTCTGGTCGTTTCTGTTTTTTTTTTCTATCATCCTCACTGTCTCTGCCCTGCAGTTTTTCCCTTCAGCTTTGGCCTCACAGACTTTTCACCTCTCCTAGACACTTCACCTAATTCAAAATGGATTTTTACTCTGTTTCACCAGGGCTAGCACCAAAGATTGTGTATGCCAAGATCTAATGATAGCAAACCAAAAATCCAGACCATATATCCAATTTCAGGGTTACTTCCTTGAAAAATTTTATTATCATAAATCCAACAGGAAATTTGTGCTAAGTTAATTTTTTTCCCCATTTGTCTGGAGTACCAGTATGTCTGTCCCGATCTCCTGCTGGGCAGGTTTGCCCCTGAGCAGGCAGCACGGGCCAGATAGCTCAGTCCTTTGGGGACAGACTGCTGAGTACCCAAGACGCTCTTAGCCGCAGGCAACCTTAGCAAGCTTAAGGGATATCAGTTTTTTTTAGTGATTCTCAGTTCTTTTGGGTTCAGCTCTTTTGCTTGCTAAGGCACCGTTGCAGGCCGACCGAAAGGCAGACGCAAGAGAGGAGAAGGCAGCTGGAGTTCCACACCAATGGCTTTATTTGGGGCTCTGTGAAGGGTTCCAGCGACGGCTCTTCTGACCAGAATGGGCTAAAACAGCCCATTATATAGGGTATAGGGGGATCAGAAATTGTCCAGTAGCAGGGGTTAAGGGAAAGTGGCCTATGGGGTTGCAAAGAGATAAGCAGGGGTCCGAAAGGCGGAAGAGAGGGGCTTTTTGCTATAACTTGGCATTTCCTATCTTTAGGCCTCTGCTCTCCACGCGGCCCTAGCAAGCCCATGGTCTGCTACAACTCCACTTTCTGTTTTTAGAAAAAAGGCGTTCCCCATAGTTCTTTTGAAACAGTGAACAAGGCATAAGAACATAGCTAATACAATAACAACTACAAGGAGAATCCACAACATTCCCTTAACCAAAGATGCAACCCATCCTGTCAATCCCCATTGACTGAAAAGTTCATTGACTCAGTCTGGGATTTTTTCTACTTTCAAGTCCTTCGCGAGTTCTTTCAGTTTCTGGATGTTCGCATGGATGGATTCCGAGCGTGAAGAAAGATTGAAGCAGCACATCCCTTCAAAGTCTTCACAGCCGTGTCTGTGGGCAAGCCGCAGGAAGTCAATTGCTGTTCGATTTTGGAGAGAAGTATGTCTTGTGGTTTCTTCTTCCTTTAAGAGATTGCTCAGGGCAGCAGATGTAGCGTTCGCTTGTTTACTGAGCCAGCACCCGAGGTGATTTATTTCTCCAAGTGCTTTAGCTGCAGCTACCCATGGTAAGAACAGGGAGACAGCAATCTTTTTTGATTTA